CACACAGAGCCTCAGACCAGCCAACTACCTAAGGACCCCAGAGCCAAACCTAGACAGCTTCTAACACTGGTTGATACACAAGTACCTCCCAGGAGACCCGAAATCAGCATACAAAACAGTGAGCCTCAGACATTAGCTGCCCAGATGAAACTCACTTGATTTTTCTTTTTTTTTTTAGAAAAAAGAGAGAAAAGAAAAAAATTTTCTTTTTAAATTTTTAAATTGCTTTTTATTTTTAAATTAATTTTAAAAAATTTGTTTTGGCTTGCTTTACTTGTTTTTTTGCTTTGTTTTTTGTTCTATTATCAAGATTTTCTTGATATTCTCTGCTTTACTGCTGGGACATTATCATTATAACCAATAAGTTTATTGCTTTTGTCCACTGTTTCCCCCATATCTTTTACTGGACTCCTTGCCTGCCCTTGCTTTACCTTGCTCTCTCATTTCATTAGCATAACTTTTTTTTCTCCTCTTTTATTCTCTGTCTTCCTGTCTTTTTGTCTGTCTTTTTATTTTTCAACCATTTTCCTATTCCTACTCTCTACCCTTAATTTTTGCTCTCCCTTCTTTCCTTTCAGAATCTTTCCTGTCCCTTTTATCTCCCAGTAGCTTCTCTATTTTTTAATTTAATTTTATTATTTTTTTTACTTTTAGCAATAATATCCTTTTCATTGTCTCTCTCTTTTTTCTTTAGCATTTGTGTTCTTGCTTCGCTCTTCCAATTCTACTTTCTCTTGGGATGTTTTCATTGTGATTGTTAGAATGTTTTGTAAGTTACTGTTTGTTTCCTGGCAGTTTGGCTGTGTTATGAAAAAATGCTCAAGGTCACTAACTGTCAGAGAGATGCAAATTAAAACCACAATGAGGTATCACTTCACACCAGTCAGAATGGCTACTGTCAACAAATCAACAAATGACAGTGCTGGCGAGGATGTGGAGAAAGGGGAGCCCTGGTATACTGCTGGTGGGAATGAAGACTAGTGCAGCCACTACTGAAAACAATATGGAGGTTCCTCAAAAAATTAAAAATGGAGCTTCCTTTTGACCCAGTGGTCCCACTTCTAGGAATATATCCTAAGAATCCTGAAACACTAATCAGAAAGAATATATGCACCCCTATGTTCATACCAGCACAATTTACAATAGCTAAGATCTGGAAACAGCCCAAGTGCCCATCAGTAGATAAGTGGATAAAAAAGCTGTGGGACATTTACATCATTTATGCAGCTGTAAAGAAGAAGGATCTTGTACCCTTTGGGACAGTATGGATGGACCTGGAGAATATTATGCTAAGTGAAATAAGCCAAGTGGAGAAAGACAAACATCACATGATCTCACTCATACGTGGAATCTAAAGAATAAACTGATGAACAAAATAGATTCAGTGACATGGAAGCATGGATCAGACTGGCGAATCTCAGAGGAAAGATGTGGGTGGGGAGAGATCAACCAGAGAATTTATATGCATAAATGCATAACCCATGAACACAGACAATAGTGTGGTAAAGGCCTGGGGAGGGGAGTAGGTATGGGGTAGAAGGGGTCAATGGGGGAAAAAAGGGGACATCTGTAATATTTTGAACAACAAAATAAAGTAAAATGGCAAAAAAAAAAAAAAAAAAAAAAAAAAAAAA